CAAACCTCTAGTCAGATACCATCTGTCTAAAACAGTCACCCACATTCAGCTTCATCCTCTAATTTACTTTCTCCTGTTAATATTTTTCAGTATCTATAAATTATATATAGAAATATGTGATATATAATATATACATATACTTAAGGATCTTTAAAGTCATACAATATCACATATAATTTGTATTCTTTTATATTTATATTATACAGATATATGTCTGTCTCTGTATTTGAGATGTTTGTGTGTGTCATTTAATTCTCCCTCAGTATTATGTAAGATCCATGGCAGGGAGGGGGTTCAACATTTATTTTGCTCAATAAAGGTAGCACTTGCCAAAATACTGAATATTGATTTTAATTTATCATTTCATATATTTGTGAGAGACTACCAACTAACCTTTTCCTTAGGTAATGTTTCATATTATTTTTGCTTGCTAGATAGCAAATAAAGCTTTTGCAAGTAAGCATTCCAAAATTCGCAATCGGCATGTTGAAGGACTCCCTTCCTCTTAATAGTCAGCTATATTGTGTTTTGCAAGAGCCCATTGTGCTTTTTAAAATCCTGTGTTTTAACGTGTTTAATCAGTTATAATATAACTGGAATATAATAACTACCTCTAATTGAATTCTTCAAGACTCTTTGACTCAGTCAAATCTCAAGAGATTATTATTTCATGCACAAGTGAAATTGGATTGTGTTTTGTTTAATGGAGTTAAGTATTTGGTGATCTTAGTCAATTCTGATTGCTAATTATAAATATGGATTTAGACTCTGGGTCCATGTCTTTGACGTAGTTATTTTTCAGCATATCTTTGCTCTTGAATGCTATTGAATTAGACTGTTTGAATGTTCACTTAAATTATTTGATCTATATAAGTTATTGAAAAGTTATTAAGATCCAAGGACTTTCCCTGGGTCGATCTCATAATTATTATCGATCGTGGGCTGCTGTGTGCGAGCACGTGCTCATTTTCTGAATGAAAGTATCTGTTGAGGGCCTCCCCGGGTGGCACAGCGGTTGAGCGCTGGGCTGCGAAGCTGCCCATAGCCTCTGCAGCGCTGGTTTGATCCCTTGTCACCAGCAAGGGTCCCACATGGCATGACAGACCTCTCCTGCCGCGCCCGCTGCGCCCCACAGCAGTGTATTTCTTCAGTCTGCCTATTCTGTTTCCCGCTCTGGCTCTGGCGAATTCTCTCACCCTCCTGCGCTTCTGACTGTACCCAGTGCTTGTGTAAACAAATAAATAAATCTTAAAAAAAAAAAAATAAAGTATCGGTTGAGTTTTTCCTATACTTTGGCTGTATAGCTGCCAGAAACCTTGTTTCTTTTGACAAGTCTTCAGATAAAGAGTCAGTGTAACAAAGGCAAGGACAAAAGACCTCATCTAATTTAGCTGACAACTTCCTGGGGAAGTAAACGTGAGCGGGTTGCTATATTGGCATGAGACTCTAATTTGCATTGTTAGGGAATAGTTTATATTTCATGTGGTGGGGAGGAGGGATCTGTTGTCAAGTGAGAGAATGTGGCTTTTAAAAAAAAGTTAGCCCTAGGTACTCACTTATTAAGAGGTGATATCTTGTTCTCCACCAACTCCTTGCCCCAATCAGACCTTGAAGTTGAAAGATTCGTGCCTGCTTTCACAATGAAATGATATGATATGATATGATGCCAGTGCTTGGTCATAAAAGACTGAAGAATCTGCCATAGAAAAGATGCCATAGAAAGCATCCTTACCTCAGAGCCATCGTTTTATGCCAATGCCTGTGCCCTGTGGACAGGTTAGTTGTAGACATTCCGATAGAATCCCAGCTGAACCCACCCTTTGTTTTATGACTTTTTTTTTTTTTTTTTTTTTGCGGTGCTAAATCATGTGTATTTCACATTGTTGAGGGTTGGATTTTTCTGGCAGCAAAGTTCCCTGCTGAACATCTTGATTCTTTCTTGAAAACTGTAGGCAAGTGTCAGTTAACTTTTTCCCTCAGGTAAGTTTACCCTATTAGTGACTGTGCCTTTTTATGGATCTCTACCAAATGTAAAATCTCACAATTTCTGAATAGAGGCTACTTTCTGACTGTTTCACAAGTGAAAGTCCCATCATGCTATTTGATTCTTGGGAATTTTGAATTTATATGTCCTTTATTTTTTGCAAGGTCTCATTTTGGTTGGTTTTCTTGCAAGCAGAAACTTAATACTAGTAGCAGACTCCAGGGAACATTTAGACAAATTTTAGAGCACTTTAATCACCTAACTTCCTCTGCAAAATTATTCTGCCCATTGAATTGAGGCAGCCTCAGCTTCTCCTAACTCCTATCTCTCCTCTATTCAGCAAGATCTCCAGGTTTTCTTGAGTTCCCTCCCTGGCCAGTGAGCTGGAAAGTGCTTCCAGGGAGCAAATCAGGGCAATGGGGGAACTTAGTTCATTTGCCTCCCTTCTTTCAGGGATCTTAGTCTTTTTTGCCTCAATATTTGAAACACATTATTTCATATAATTTGTCAACTCATCCAGTTATTTACAGGAGGAGTGAAAGTTGAAATGTAATCCTCCTTCATAACTGAAAGCAGAAATTGCTGTGTGAATTTTAATAATTATCTGTACCACAGGTTTTGGACTATTCATAAAGGGGGACTCCCCCTAAATATATTAAAGAAAATAAAAATCACAGAGGTGTCAAAGTTTTAAAAAGTGCTATCCTATACATTTAATTCTTGTCAAGTAGTGCAGGTAAAACAAGTGAAAACTAATATGTTATATAACATTACTGCAACACCCTTAGAGAGTCCAATGATTTCAGAAATTTAACATTTTAAAATACTATAAAGTTGTGATATAATCTTATTACAATGGACTTCCATGTTCCAGTAATTCCAGAAGTTTGACATTTTTATATTTTTATGATACTAATAGGAAATTGAACTCTAAAATTCCACCACTTATTTACTATGAAATATGTATTTACTATAAAATTTAAAGTTAAATTTAAGATTATAGGATATCATTTGGTGTTCAAAGGAAGGATGATATGGCCAAAGAAGTTTCTCTACTTGAAAAATCAAGTAGAGTGGGGTAAATAGTTGATTTTTTTTTTAATTTAAGAGATAATTTTAAACCAACTCAGTTATCTTTCCTTACTCATAAAATAGCACAGCACATTTTTACATAAATGTGTGTGCTGTTCATGTTGTTTTATACCTTTTATGTGGCAAAATCTGTCATCTTTGCACTGGTATAGTTGGAAGGCCTGACAAAAATACTGCTAAACACACATTTTAATGGAAGTGTCAACTTCAGATTACGTAGGTGTTTTTATATTTTGTTTGCTACAAAATGATCCCAGTCATGTTGTCTATGCATATAAGAATTCTGATGAATTCTATATTTAAACTTAACATGAATTTCAAAAGGTAAACATACACTTTCTTTCGAGTACACTTGCCAGTTCTCACAAGCACTGTTCTTGGTTTTCTCTGGACCTCCTTCAACAAGTTTGATTTCCCCCCCAATTCCGAAGCCCCAATTTTTGAAGTTCTATTTATAGTGTCTGCCTTATTGAGTTAACTGCAAATAGTACTCAACATTGAAGACTGGGAGCCAAACTCTAACAGCTGGAAAAAAGACAAAGAAAAGGAATGCAAGGGACCCTTTTAAAAAGCGGGGTATCCAATAAGGAATCCTTCTAGAAGTAAATCTTTCTTAGTAAGAAAAGATATGGAAGTACTAGGCAGGGGAAGTACTTTCCACAACAAATTCTGTATTCAATCATGTGTCTGTGGTGGGAAATGCAGGCAGCTGTCTGTCCATCAGAATACTGTATTCAGTACCTTCAACTTAACCACACAAGTGGCTCTGCCTCTTTGTCAGCATGACAAGAAGAACGTGGCGAAGGCAGCTGCATGTTCTAAATGTAATGGGTGCTTTCTCTTTTCAATCATACAGCTCTTTTTCTTCTAAGATGTAAATTCCAAACTTCAAACCTAATGATGATGATTTGATGAGACACAGGGGAAAAAAAAAAAGAAGAAGAAGAAGAAGAAGAAGAAGAAAATTGGTGTGGATTCAAAGAGAAATTGGAAGACTGACATGAAATTTGAGCTGATGAAGGTGTGAGCGTTTACAAAACAATCTCTTTTTCATGTGTGGATTTTAGCAAAATTACATGCAAAAAAAAAAAAAATAACGAAACATAAGTCTCTGAGCTGCTAGATTGAGGTAATTCAGTTATGGCCTTAGTAGCTCAAAGACTTTTCCATATCTACGTGTTTGTTTTTGTTTGTTTTTTCTTTTTGTCTGATTTTTGGTCTTGTTCTGTTATCTTTTAGTATGCTTTGTCCTTACTCAGGTGAAGCTTCTCCAGGTGTGAGTGTCTCACAAGAGGCGACCTGGCGCCATCCTGAAAGGCTCACATTCTGCACGGGGAGGGTCTGGCGCGCAGTCTGAGCCCCTCCGCCCGCAGCTGTGTGATCTTGGGCATCACCCACAAACTCTCTGTGCCGCCGCTCCCCGTCTATTAAAAGATGCCTCAAACGAGCTGGTCCCAGCAGAGGCAGGCTGTATCTGCCTCGTGGCGTCTGCCGCAAAGCTCCCATTTTTGGGGGGTCTGCAGAGGCTGGGCGCGGGGGGCGCCCGCAGGAGCTGCAGCTGCGATGACTGCGCGTCTGCGCGCATCCTCCTGGGGCCGCGCCGGGCTCGCTCCCGCGCCACCGCGATTCCTCACGAAGATGCCTCCGAAAAATCACTCGGGAGCACCTTGACCTTGACGGCGGACTCCGGGGGGCGCGGATCTGGGCGCCCGCTCGCGCCCGCCGCCCCCGCCCGGCCCGGCGCTGGGTAGGGCGCGGCGCTCGCCTGCCCGCCCCGCCTCCGCGCATGCCCAGTGCGCCTGGCCTCCGCCTTCGGGGTGCGCTTTCGGGCCGGCCGCGGCGCCCCGGGCGGGCTGGGGATGGGGAGCGCGGCCCCCAGAGCGGCGGAGGCGCGGTGAGGAGCCCCGGGGACAGCGGGCGCAGCGCGGCGGTGAGTGTCGGGGGCGCGCGGCCATGGCCTTTCGCAAGAAGAGCGCCAAGAACCCCCCGGTCCTGAGCCAGGAGTTCATCCTGCAGAATCACGCGGACCTCGTCGCCTGCCTGGGGATGTTCTTCGTGCTGGGGCTCATGTTCGAGGGGACCGCCGAGGTGTCCATCGTGTTCATCACGCTGCAGCACAGCGTCTCCGCCCCGGGCGCGCAGGGGCCGGCCTCGGAGGCCAGGTCCCTGTACCAGTACGGCGTCAAGGATCTGGCCACCGTCTTCTTCTACATGCTCGTGGTCATCATCCTGCACGCCACCCTGCAGGAGTACGTGCTGGATAAATTCAACAGGCGGATGCAGTTCCCCAAAGCGAAACAGAGCCGGTTCAATGAGTCCGGGCAGTTCAGTGCGTTCTACCTGGTGTCCTGCGTCTGGGGCACCTTCATCCTGGCCTCCGAGGACTGCCTGGCCGACCCCGCGCTGCTGTGGCGAGCCCGCGCCCACCGCGTGATGACCTTCCAGATGAAGTTCTTCTACATAGCGCAGCTGGCCTACTGGTTCCACGCCTTCCCCGAGCTCTACTTCCAGAGGACCAAGAAACAGGACCTCCCCCGCCAGCTGGTCTACATCGGGCTGCACCTCTTCCACATCGCGGGCGCGTACCTGCTGTACCTCAACCACCTGGGGCTGCTGCTGCTGATGCTGCACTATTTTGTGGAGTTTCTCTCCCACATCTGCGACCTGTTGTACTTCAGTGATGACAGGTACCAGAAGGAGCTCTCTCTCTGGGCAGTCGTGTTCATTCTGGGGCGGCTCGTGACGCTCATGGTTTCTGCCGTCACCGTGGGCTTCCACCTGGCCGGAGCGCAGAGCCCCGGCCCCGACGCCCTGGCCGGAGACGTGAATGTGCTGGCAGCCAAAATCGCCGTCCTGGCGTCCAGTTGCACCATCCAAGCCTACATCACCTGGAATCTGTTTAGCGCCCAACTTCAGAGGTGGGTGAGAGAAGAGGCCACTCTCCAGGCCCCAAGTGGGAAGAAGAAACGGACTAAAGGCCGGTCCTCGAGAAAAGGAACAGAAAACGGGGTGGCCACTTCCAGTAGAGTAGACTCTCCCCATAAGAGGAAAGAGAAATCTTCGTAATGAATTACAAACTAGTGGATTCATGTCCCCAAAGAAGTCTACTCTTGATTAGCAGATACTTTTCTGCACTGGAGACTTTTTGGTTCTTGAAAATAGTTTGTGCTGTCCTTGATTTTTGCTATTGTACTGTGTAATGTATGTTTTTAAAAGCCTTAGAGAGGGGAGAATCATTATTATGAGTGGGGGGAAAGTGATGATTTTTAACTAAGCAACTTGTCCTCAAAATAATTTTGGGATCACCACTGTTTTTTTTTTGTTGTTGTTTTTTTGTTTTTTTGTTTTTCATCTTTGAACCTTTTCCTAATGATTTATAGAGATGACTATACAATTCTTGTGTATCAGTGGCACAATTTCTTGCTTCCACCAATCTTTTATAACACTAGCAAGATGGTCGGTTACAACAATTTTCATGTTCTCTTTCAGAATATAATGAAAATAATATACAGGGGGGATCAACGTCAATAATTTTTCAGTGTTCTCCAATTTCTTAGAATTTTTTTAATTTAGAATTTACAGCTGAAGAAAAGATTTGTAAAGCCACCAAGATAATAATGTGTTTTATAGCTAGTGGTTCATAGTGTTACATCCCCATTAAAGAACCTAAATACTAATGGATAATGTGTGGAGATTTATTGTCATACACCTAATTAATATAAAAGTATTATTGAACAAATACTTATTCTTGTCCATTATAAACAATTGTAAACTGGAAATCAGAAAATTAAATATTTACTGTGAGAAGGAAATCAAACTTTACTAGTTTTCTGGTATGTTTATTAAAACATTCTTAATGAGGTTTGTCACCAGTATCCAAGGCATCTAAGGAAAATATTGTTTAAATTATTTTTAAGAGTAATGTTCACTTGGCTTTATATCTTAAAGAGAAAGTCAGCTAATTACACACGGAAAACATTTCATGCACCAACCCTAAGTAATTTGAAAATCATGCTACTAAATAGTCTTATGAAAGACTTAACAATAATTATAGTGTTGCTTTCATTGGGAAACATTTCTCTGAATGAGATCTATTTGGGGGATATATTTGCATCTTAACAGAAGTACAAAAAAGAAAAACAGTGGGCTGTGGTGGGTATTATATTTTTTTCCCTTTCAACCTTAACTTTACTTTTATTCCAATAAATATGAGTGTTAGTATTTTTTTTTCAGGAGTTGGTGCTTTAAACATATGCTAGGTTTTTTTTTTTTTTAAAGATTTATTATTTTTTAATTTATTTATATAAGCACTGGGTACAGTCAGAAGCGCGGGAGGGTGAGAGAATTCACGAGAGCCAGAGCAGGGAGCAGAGCAGGCAGACTAACGAAATACACTGCTGAGGGGAGCAGCGGGTGTGGCAGGAGAGGTCTGCTGCACCATGTGGGACCCTCGATGGTGGCCTGGGATGGAACTGCCGCTGCAGAGGCTGTGGGCAGCTTCACAGCCCAGCGCTCAACTGCTGCACCACCAGGGGAGGCCTGAAATATGCTTGGGGTATGCCATATATTTCCTATTTCTCTTTTTCTTCCCACTTTGTCTCTTATCACCCTCTTCTTAATAACCTTCTACTTGGTAATTCAACTTTTCCATTCACACTGGTCCATCACACTCAAACCGAATATACTTGTATACAGACCTAAGACAGAAGAACCATTCTTGGTAGCACTTTCTTTTCTGTCTGCCTTGAGAGGTAGATAATGAAGGGAGATCATTTCATTTTTGGCTATAAAATCCATCATTCTATTTTTCCTTCTTGGTAGCCAAGGTTTGTAGAGTTGGTAGTACATGCTGTGAGGTCCACAGTGCAATAACTTCAACCCACCATTGTGCAATTGTAACATGAGGATTTCCAACTTCTCTTATAGAGAATGGTCTTTCTCCCTTCTCTCACTTTTGAAGAATTCTAGTCCGTTGCTTGTAATCCACTCCTGGTAACGAATTTCTTATGCCTTTCATACTTCATTTGCAAATAAGCATAAGCTTGATTCAAACTGGCAAATGGTTGCAAGACCTTTTTTTTTTTCACGTGACTAACAATAATGAGACTTAAATTGGGCTAGACGTTGAATATGGTTAGGTCCCAGATGGATTTTCCTGACTTTGTCCATCCCAGATTGATTCTGTTTGCCAACATGAAGCCTTTTGTAGGCTTCATGTTTGTGTAACACATGGAAGAGAGGAAGAGAAAACCAGATTTCTGGAATTCCCAGATACTAAGAATTACTTTTATGAAACTCAATTCATAAAAGGCCGTACTGTTCTTGTGGAAAAAGGTGCAGCCCCTTCTTGTAAAATCAGAGTTCACAAAAGGTTGCAATGTATCTGAGGAAAATAATGAAGGAGAGTTCTAATGTTAGATTGACTCCAATATAAGAGTTCTATAAAAATGTTCCAAAAATAAATATAAGTGAAATAAATTATGAAAGCAGTTGAAAATGCTTTCAAATGAAATTCATCAAAATATAAACCTCAAAGGCTCTCTTTAAAAAAAAACACATTCTAAGAAAATTCATGCTGTCATAAATCTCAGTAGACAGTTGGATTTCCATCAAAATAAGCCACCTTCAAACAAAACTTGTCATTACTGCTATTCAAGGTATTATTAAATCTCAGATATCTGGTTAAGCATTAAAAGTTGCAAAATTCATAAAGATGTGTCTAATACTTGAGTTTAAAAAAATCCCTGATTTATTGGCTTCATGCTTGCCAAACTTTATTCCTGAAATAAGTCTACAGGTATAGATTGCTTGGGGTAGATTTAAAGTGAATATTCAAAGCCATTCTGATAGCATTTAATTAAAAATGTATCCTCCTCTTCTTAAGTAGTATAGTTGTGTTAATCACTCTATGTACAAGGACAAGCCAGTTGTAGACCCTATTACTTCCTTAGCGTTCAGTCATTGTTCTTGTGCTTTCAATTACAAAAACAGTGAGCGTTGAAATATTTTTTTTCGTTATTCTTCATCTGTATCTGTTTATCTGTAGAGGAAATTATATAATCAACAGTTGCAAAAGTTAATCTCTTGGGCCTCCCTGGTGGCGCAGGGGTAAAGTCTCAGCATTATCAAGCTATCACCATCCACTGTGGCTTGAGTTCAATCCCTGGCCAAGGAACTGACCCACATAGTATAGCAGACCTCTCCTGGCTCACCCACTGCTCCCCTCAGCAGTGTATTTCATCAGTCTGCCTGTTCTGTTCCCTGCTCTGTCTCCGGTGATTTCTCTCACCCTCCCACACCTCTGGCCTGTACCCCAGTTTTGTATGTATAAATAAATCTTAAAAAAAATTAATCTGTTAACTTGGAATAGATTCAGAAAGACTCATTACACCATCACATATTTAAAGCTTTCCTTAAGACATAAAATATTCTCTTATCTCTTCAGTTTGGAAAAACGGCTGAAGCTTTAAGTTGTCACTTAGATCAGTTATATAGTAATAAATTAGTTTCAATTTATTTTATCATATTTATTTTGTAAAAATTAACATAGCTTCGGGATTACATTTCTCCCCCTCCGTATGTGCACATGTTCTGCTCACCCTCTACCCAGCCACCCATGTCAATGCCTCATCTGCTCCCCACAATTTTCCCTCCTCCCTCCCTGCTGTTCCCTCTGGAAATCAATATATATTTTTTTTTACTAAGTCCAAAAATTGTTTTGGCTGTTAAGTTTATTGTAATCATTTAAATTTACTATTATTTAATTATTTATATGGTGCAATGTAATGTTTATGTTTTTTTAATTTTTTTATTTTTAATTTATTTTATTTTTAATATTTATTTTTTGTTTTTTAATTTTTATTTATTTTTTTATTTTTAAATTTTTAAAATTTATTTATTTATATATTTTTTAAAAGATTTATTTATTTATATAAGCACTGGGCACAGTCAGAAGCGCGGGAGGGTGAGAGAATTCACCAGAGCCAGAGCGGGGAGCAGAACAGGCAGAAGGACCGAAGTACACTGCTGAGGGAGCAGCGGGCAGCAGGAGAGGTCCGCACATCATGTGGGACCCTCCTCCAGTGGCCGGGGAGCAGCCGGGGATCGAACCGGTGCTGCAGAGGCTGCGGGCAGCTTCGCAACTGGGCACTCAACCGCTGCGCCACAGGGAGGCCCATGTTTCCGTTTTAGTCTCTGCACCAGAAGTGACATACGGAGTGACTGAGGAGACCGTGTTCTTGGTGGGGAAGCATGCGCGAGACAGTGGCCTGAGTGTGGGGCTGTGTGTGTGAGGGTGGGGAAGGCCTTGTGGCTGGGCATGCCATCCATTGCAATCTGGAAACAGGGGAGACCTGGCTGGTTGAATTCTGTAAAAGTGAGAGACAGTCCTGCATGGAGGCAATCGAAGCTTATACTAAAAGACCTGGTTACCAGACCTTTTACAGATGCTCCCTCTTCTTGAACTTCTCTAGAATTCCAGGAGGTTTTGTTTTCCTCTGCCATTTTTCAATCAAATCTACATTCTGTGAGAAACTAGCCACACTCAGTTCCCCTCAGTTATGTAGACTTATCAGAAACTCATCATGCATTTCCAAATATTAAGTTATAATTTCTTCATGACTGTAGAGTCATTCTTCTAAATGTTGCCATGGAAATCCCTGTAAGCAAATCATCTTTAGGCTTTCATCATCTCTAGCAGTTTTAAGTATTGAGTAAAGATGAAATAAGTCAAATAGTAAGGCAGATGTTTCTGAGATAATTCACCTACTTCTTCCTCTGTCTGTTGTGTTTGGGGCTATTGCATGGTGTCAGCTAATCTTTTTCATGTTAGAGCTTGAAAAATACATGGCTATTTAAGTTGTCCAATTCAGGAAATACTTGCATAATTTAGGAAATACAAATGGGATGGAGTATGTGGTCAAAATTTTCTTGGATTTAAAAATGTCCAAGTTAAATTCACAGTAATGATGTGTATATCTGCTCAGCCTAGAAGTGACTAGAACTGCTTTTAAGGGATGTGGCTACACAATATTTCAGACAAGATGTCTATTTTTAAAAGTAGAAAGGATATTTCCCAAATTAAAAGTAGAAAATGCTCAATGTCATCATCATCGGCACTGTTTATCAAATGAAATCATACCTTTCACAGAATCTCAGCTTGAAGAAAATTTAAGAATATAGAGAACAGTAACTTGTGCCTGATAGGGATTTCGCTTAAGTCATCACACACTGGTATCTCAACAACTCTACCCAAAAATAGATTTAATATTTCCTCCTGTTGCTGTCCTATTTCTTAATTAATTTTTAAATGACCCTCAAATGAAAGCAATATATAGTTGTCAATATTAATACTAATATATAATATATAAGCTTTTTAACATTTAAAAAAATGATGTTTCTAGTTACATTGCCATACATTCAGCAGAGGAAGGTTATAATATGATTAAAATAATGGCTAGGAAAGGCATGGCTAAGCCCTAGCTGTGGCCCTTAAAGCTGTGTGCACTTAGAAACCACCTAAACATTCTAAGTCACTAAAATAAGAAGGGTTTTATCAAACTCAGAAAGCTGCTATGAAGATTGAAAATATCTGCAGAGACATTGCCCTAAGTGGTTTCTGTGTACAGACACTTGTTCATGTATCTCTATATATAATTTTATGATCTATACTTGTATGTAGTCTTAACAAACATGCATTTGTATTTATACATACATATATATGCATATATGCATACACATGAACCTACCTACTTATCTAAGTGGTATAAACCTACCTACATACATCAAAATCACCCAGACTCCATCCT